CCCTCCCGGGCAGCAGTGCGAGGACTGCATCGGCAGCGGGGAGCTCTGCCCCCGCTCTCTATCTGCGTTCCTGTTCCTCTGCAGATAGGTTAGGACAGGGGAAAATAAAATACTGATAAGAGTTCTGGATATTCAGAATAACAGACTCATAGTTTTACAAGTTATCTTAGGAGACTCTGAGTCATCAACAGTGATTTGCTTCAATCATCTCCATATCTTGTAATGCACACCCCCCCGTCGCACCAACAGATGCTGTGCTACCTCACCAGGAGCACTATGAGCAGCAATGCACCTGTGCTGCAGTTCACATTCAACTTTGGATACTTCTTGTGTTTAATACTGAAATCAACCTCTCCCAGCCATTTAACCTTCTCTCCCCTAAATGCATCCTGGAGGAAATAAAGCAAAATGCATTTAGAGGAATCATGATGTCACCTGAAGTATGCATGTTCCAATCTGTATTTTCGAATGAGAAAATAAAGTATTTTTTGCAATTCCCTTCTGTTTTGTTTTACTTAGAGAGAACAACACTCAGAATAAATACAAGCATTTGACTATCCCAAATACTTTAAAAACATCAGTAAATTGAAGAAATTTACTGAATTTATTACTGAAGCAATAAGACAAGGCAGCTTTGCAGTAAACAGCAATAACAATATAGTCCCAAAATATTGTCCCAAAATCCTGTCCCAAATAGGAAGTTTCCTATTTTATTGTCGTCGTCTTTTTCAGTTTTTGCAGATTTTCTTTTGGATCAGGTCAATGTAATCATTCAATAAAATTCAAAAGCATTTCTCAAGTCTTTTAAATTTTCTTGGACAATCTAGTATTTTATTTACTAAACAGCATTACATTATTTACAGATGCTACATCTTATTCTGCATGTAAGTGTTACAGAGTATTAGCCAGCACTCTTAAAATTTTAAGCTAAATTCTGATTTACATGGTTTGAGTCTTAAGAAATGTCACTGAATTGAAGTACCATTGTAAATAAAATAATATTGGGTCATTCAGTTTCTTTAGTTATGAGGCAGACATTCTTTCATTTGTATGATTTTTGGTTAATGAGATGTACTGATAAGTGATGCAAACTGCACATTTTGAAAAATCATTTCTAACCGCAGCATGAATTTCTGGGTGTAAGGATAATTACATAACAAGGGGTGATAACTGAGTGCATTTGCTGCCTGGAAATTTGATCTGCTTATGGCTGATCTTTATAGAAAATCAAACATAAAAATTCCAAATGTTTGCATACATACACATTTTAAAAGTTTATTTATAAGTGCTTATTCTTACCTTTCTTAGCTTCCGCATCAGTTTTCCATAGGATACCAAAATCACAGATAAAGGCACTATAAAACAGGTGGTGAAGAATGCAATAATGTACGTGTGGTCGGTATAAGCTCCTGAATACCTGTTTAAAACACAAAATATATTGTGTATGTATTAGTAATATGTGTTCTTATTATTTTCTTGAAGTATCAATTTTGCTTTTCAAAGCTGTCAGCAGTATTTTTGTCAACTGTTTTTTATTCAAAGTGCCCCTTTCCAGCTTCAGCCGTATCACCAGATGGAGCCCTGGGCCACCTCCCTGGCCGTGGGCTAGGACAGGACCCTATGACAACAGGAGCACAGGCACAGTGGGGCACTTCAGGTGGGAAGGGACATGTAGTCCAACCTCCTGCTTGAAGTGGAGTCAGCTATGGGGTCAGACCAGGTTGCTCAGGGCTTTGTCCAGTCTTCTGAAAAATCTGTCTCTGTCCTCTTTGAATTCTGACAAAACGCACAAGGTGTAGGATGGATATTTTCATTAGAGATGGAAGCTCCTCCCTTTAGAAATTTGTTGGGTTTAAATCTGTTCTTGGCAAATTTTGCTCAGTTTTGTTACAACTTTCTTTACATCCATTTTTGCAGAGATGTACATCACCTTTAAACCTTTCCTTTAAATCATGCCCCTGAGACATCCTGAGTTGCAAGTTTAATTTCTTTGCCATACTCCGCAAGATTGGCCTTACCAGTTAGGCTCACATGTAGTTCCAATCTTACTGGTGGTGTAACTGCTCCAACCCATTGTCGGTGGAATGGTCCAAATGAAGGAAAAGGTCCACACAAAGGCAATACCTAGGGCTGCATGCTTCCCCCTCAAGTGCATATTGCCCAATGGGCGGCAGATCACAATGTACCGCTCAAAAGCCAGCAGAGCAAGAGACCAGAGAGCAACAATGCCTATAGTAAGAAAACACAGTCAGCATCAAAAATTGGGTGGATTCACTGAAAAGCAAACACCATCCCACATCAGAGAATCACAGAATTGTTTATGTTGAAAGGCATCTCTGGAAGAGATCTAGTTCAACGCCCCGCACACACTCAAGCACAGTCGACACAGCAGGTTGTCCAGGACCAAGTCCAGTTGGGTTTTGAATATCTCCACAGATGGAGACTCCACAACCACTCTGGGCAACCTGTTCCAGTGTTTGACCACCCCACACCATCAACCCAAGCTGTGAAAGGATGTGCAATTTATGTGCATTATTCTAATATTTATTAAGAGCACAAGATTTTCGTATGTGTCTAGTTTGTCAGTCTACAGTATAATGTCTACAAAACCAAGCAGTCAATTGGGCCATTTAACTGACAATGACTTCTTTTTTTTCATTCGGTTCTACTCTGAAAAGCTGTACATTACGTGTAGCTTCCAAACGAACAACTTCAGATACATCTTCAAAATACTATCTTTGTGAGAAATGTCCTATTGCAGACTGTCATAAAACTCTAACCTACAGACAGCTGCCCACAACGTCAAATTATTAGTTTATTAGGCACATATCACCTGGTTGGTCACCAAAATCTTGAAACAGCCTGATCTTTCTGCATGGGACATGGCTTACATGCCACAAACTGATTTAGTAGCATTGTCCCTCACTGACATTCCCTCTGTGTGGCTTAACCAGGCTGAGAGCAACTGTGGGACTCTTTCAGGCTGAGGATCAGCAATGTGTTTGATTTAGAGCAGTTACAAGAGTTAGAAGGCTGTCTTTACTGGGCAGCTTCAGAAACAGGAACAGGGAGGCAGGAATGAATGTCTGTCTCAAGTAAGTAGATGGCCCATTTTAAACTAATTTCCCATTTATACTGCAGCAGTGTATTTACACAGGGAATAACGTGGTGAGGACTTCCCCTTTTAGAGTACTTCTAATATTTTTTGCGTAGTTAGTAAAACAAAGCCAAGAAAAAGAATCACAAAAAGATGTCAGTGTGAGGGGTGACTGTTACAGATGTGTCACGGTTCCTCAGAACCACTGGAGTGCAGCTAACATAAGCTGTTTCTATGCCGATATTTTCCACAGTTTAAGAACAGCCACCTGCTCTTTCTCTCTCTCTCTCATTTATCCATATATGCACACACCTAAACACAAACCTTGAAAATAGTTACACGTCATGATTTTTTTCCTGACACTGTTTTACCAAAAACCCCACAACACTGTTATTCTATTAGCAAGCTTTTTCTCATTACAGTAAACATATTCAATGATTAGTATACACGCGACAAGCCACTGATATATGACCGACAGTGATACAGGTTATTCACTCACACGAGAGCCACTACAGAATACACGTAACTGGGGAAAGAACCAGTGAGTTCAAAGGCCTGCAAAGTCAGTGATGGGAAGCTGCAGGATAGCTAGCAGAATGCATTGAAGGAAGTTGAAGGAAAAGAACATACAACTACAAACAAAATCAAGCTTACCAAAAAACGTGACAGCAAATCCTTCCAGTACACAAGCCCAGTATCCCATATAAAAATATCCTTTTAGATTGGTTAAAAAGCTGATGGTGCCACCAGTCAGTGAGACCAGGAAATCAGCCACAGACAAATTGACTATAACATAATTGACAGGCTGTCTCAATTGCTTGAACTTAAAAGTTACCACGATTACAGCCAGGTTCTCAGCAAGCGACAGGGAGGTCACCGCCAGCATTACTGCTGCCAGAAGCCTGAAGTGCCAGGGCTGGATGGAGTCCAAGGGACGACGGAAGGGATCCCATCTGGCAGGACCAGAGGAACTGGACAAGAGCGACTCATTTTCAGGTGCTCTGAATGCATCCATTTTTTCTCTCTCACTAGCAAAAATAATATTGTATAATACCGGAGTTTCTAATCTGTAAATAATATTTGGGATTAAAAAGAGAAATTTGCTGTCTCCAACAGAAGTGTGAACAAATTCTTCATGCTTCTGCTTTCCAGTAATAGTCCAGGAAACAAAGTTTTGGTCACAGGAAAGTTTAGTGCTGTGCAGTGAATGTGGGAACAGGGATGAGTGAGAGAACCTCTTAGAGCACCTTCTGCCCCTCTTTGCCAGTAGTCTCCTGCTGCAGCTGTGTCTTTATCTGTAATAAAACCCAGCTACAGAAGCTGCAGGCTCCCTCCCTCTGCAGCAGCAAACAGCAGTGCTGAAATATCCCTCAGATCATCCCTGCTCTGCGGGGGGAAATGAAGCATTTGCTTGGATCCCTCCCTGACCTTTAGGATGGAAAAATGAAGCTTTCCTTTTGTTAATAGTGAGGGTGGAGCGATCTTCCTCATGCCCTGCGCTGCTGGGAGCGCAGAAGGGGGAGGCTCCCATCTGACTTCTTTGCTTGAAAGGGGGCAGCCCTGAAAAGATTAACGCTGGACTACCACAGCAGCTGTAAACCGGGCAGTGCAACTAGCTTACAGCCTCAGAACTGAAGCTCCAAATTGAATAAGTTTTCTATGTTATTCAGTGGAATTTCAGTTTCTATCAGAGACAGTATGGATGTTATCCCTGATGAAGGCATAATGATTGTAACAGCAGCTTTAGTACTAAAAACTCAAAGATGCACAAAAATGCTTTAAAGATAGAGTTTGTAAATACATGAAAAGAAAATCAATACGGCATGACAACAGACAGTGCGGAAAATTAATAGCTAGTCATATATTTCTGATAAAAATGACTGGATGTATCTGGACTCTTTAATAATCATTAGCAGTTAGGGCTACTTGTGTTTGTTTCCCAAGATGAGTAGCTCCGTTGTCTCCGTACCCTAATGAGACGCAATACTGTGACAGATATTCCAGTACTCCCATTCTAAAGGGCTGCCAGTAATTATTCCAGAAATTAAGCTAGATGCCCCAAGAATATGGAAATAATTCAGCTGTGTTGTAAGTGAGATAATTCGTGGGGACTGTAATTGTTAATCAGAGCCTCAGAATATATTAACCAGAGTCAAAAATACAAAAGCAATCCAGTTCCCATCTTGGAGAGTTCACACTGTGGACACACACCGTATACAACACATGAATAAACAAACAGGAACCAGAGTGAGAGTGAAAATGAGTAACGCTACCTGTCCTCACATTACCTTGAGTTTGTATTTATTTTGGTTTGTACACGAAACACTTTGTTAACACAGGCTAAAATCTTCTGGTATGCAGGAATGGAATCAAAAGGGTTTCTGGACACTGGCAGAAAGAGTTATGCATCAGAAAATTTCAGAATATTTTGAGTTTAAAAAGAAACCCAACCTCCTACTCTCCTACTTACCATAACCAAAATAACAAAGGTATCTTAAAATGGTTAGGATATACTCAACTGAAAAGGAAAGAGATGGCACTTAAGCAGATCACATCTAGCAACAAAAATACTCACAAAATAATACTTATTCAAGAGGAATATTAAAAAATTCCAAGTGTCATAAATAAAAGAAGGATCAACAGACAGAAACATTAAAATGCCTCCAGCAGGTCCTTGTATGGCACAATTCAGCATAGTTCCACTGCCTGCATACTACAGCAGAAGACCTGGACCACAACTTTAAAATCAAGTTTGAGTATTACATTGTTTGAAATTATACATGATTTTAGATTCTTGTGGGTGTCAAAATGAAACTAGAACTCTGAACTTAGCATATAACAGAGAAGGTAGCACCCAGACTTCTCTAAGGTACAAATCTATTGACTGTACATTGACACCCTTTTAAAGAATGGGTAACTATTTTTTCCAGTTATTTTGTTGTCGGTTTGTGCTGTCATTGTTGTCCTAGTTGTTTGTATGAGTTATGATTTTGGTTACAGTTTAAATGCATTCTCTTTTCTTTATCTTGTGCTGCTTCTTTGTTTAGAATCTTTAAAAATATTCCTATGCTGTCTTGGTTGCCTGTTTTGCTTGTTTTAGGTCTTCAGCAGGTCAACTTTATCACTGAAAGTGATTCTCTGCAACATGCTCTCTTATTACAACTTACAGCAGTTGCACTTCTTCCAGCATCATGGGTTTGCATTTGCTACTTTACATTTGGTAGCCCTCTTGCACTGCAGGCCTTTTTGTCCAAATAATACAGACATGGATTTTTTTTTTCTTTTTGTTTGTAATTTGTTGTGAAGCTTTTTTCTGAAATCAATATCAGTTAAATTTAGAAAGACAAAGCATTGCCTTATGAGTACCGGGAGAACAGGAGGATCTCAGCCTCCATTTAAAGAGACGGCTGTTCTCCAGCATTACATCACAAGATCTTTAGCTCCTTTTATTAAGTTCTTATTTTCCATTAGTGCCAAATTCCTTTTCCTGGACTTCCATATACCGAAAGTTTATCAACAATCTTGGAGCACATGCAAACTGAGAAGTCCCTGTTCGTCCTATCTCACACATCTGCCCTACTGCAGTCTTCACTTTCTTGGCCAGAATCGAAGCATGACTTCCCTCCTTAGCAAAGGTGTTCCTGACTAGCACTTCGTATGAAGAGGCAAGACTATAAACCAGCCTCAGGCTATGGTTAAACTGCTGCTGGTTGGATCAGGGAACATACGGTCAGTGAGGTGAAGAGGACGTGTAACTGAGCACTTGTGTAATACGCCTACGGTAATTCCAGCTGTAAGACAAAACCAGCATGACAAGAACCGTGCTAACTGCGATCAAATCTGGTGCCTGAAATTGTATGTGGCAGTTAGTGAATTAGCCCCAGAGTTACCATTCACACAAGACACAAACAGGGAAATGAGGTATAAAGTCAGTGTGGTATTTCAAGTGGTGCACTTGAATTGGTTCTCTCAGCTTTTGAGCATGCGATAGTCAGTCTCAAGATGCTGCCATCTAATGATAGCAGTGGCCTTCACTCCTCAAAGGGATTGTGAAAGATTTGCTTTGTCCCCAAGAAGGATTTGGTTGAGTCATATTTAATTAGAGCAAACAGGATTTTCTGCTGTACAGATGTTTTGTAGGAATCTAAAGTGAAGGATCCCACTTTTGGTACAACCAAACTGGCTGCTGTGTCATATTTGAGTGCCCATCTCAGTGAGTGACCTGGCCACCCCATAACTTAACTTCTAGTTGGAGCGGGGGGGTGGAATCCAACCAGTGATTCAGGCACTCATCATTTCTGTGAGCAAGTGGTGCTGACCCAATGCACTCAGACTGCTTCCATCACCCATGAATACTTCATCCCTTTAGAGCATCTAGCCTCTGGGCCAGTAACTGGGCTGAAGCTGGTATTTCTCCTTTGCCAGATACTGCTACAGACTGTGCTACACCACTCTGAAATCAGGGGGTCTGGCCCGAGCCTTCCTGCAGTGAAGCTGCAGTTGCACGTGCCTGTGCAAGCTCAAGGGCAGCAGCACAGGAGAGCTGCCCTCCGCTCCCAGCAATGGGAGACCCCAGCTGCCCTCCCAGAGGAACCTCCTCTGCAAGGCCTGCACTGGTCTGGGCTGGTTGCTACAAAAGAAAGGCAGTAAAAGCTGGTGAAAGCTGGTGGGGAAGAACTAGATGCACCATGGGCAGGTGCAGAGTACGTGTCCTTGAGAGAAGCTGGACAGCGGGTGCTCCTCGGGCTGGGCAGGTAGGGAGAGGCTTCAGGCACAGAGAAGGGGGAAAGGCTCAATAAGAAGCTTGAGGGGAACTCATCAGTTTCAAAGCAGAGCAAAATTTCAAACATGTGAGGCAGAAATCAGTCTTACTAATTCTGAATTGGTTGGATTTTTTTTAAAATAAGATATTAAAAAAAACAGCAGCAAGTGAGGTCTATGAATAACTTTGGAATTAAATGTATTTATATTGATCTTTCACTGCCTTATATTTGATAATGCCAATCCCATCACATATCTCTAAAAGGAATATAAGACCATATTTCACTACAGTATTTTTAAAAACACAGAGTAAAGCCACATTTTGTTCTGCCTTCAGTAGAGGAGAAGCTGAAGAGAACGCACTAGCATTTAGTTAAATCAGAAATGAAGCAGAAGTTATGGTGATTTATGCATAGAGAATATTACAGATTACATTACAAATCTAGAAACTATAACTCTCAGCTCACATAATCAAATATGTTTTTGCTGAGTCCAATTAATCACAGAAACACAGGAGGGCTGCAGCTGGCAGGGACCTCTAGAGAGGTCCAGTCCAGCCCCTTTCTTAAAGCCGGGGCCGCCACAGCGGGTTGTCCAGGATCGTGTCCAGTGAGGTTTGGAATGTCTCCAGGGACAGAGACTCCACAGCCTCTCAAGGCAACCTGTTTCTGTGCTTGACAACCCTTACGGTAAAGATTTTTTCTTATTTTAATTTTTTTTTTATCTATGAATAAAAAATTAGATACTGCTTCACATTAATTGTAAGAGTTACAAACACAGTTTATTATGGGGCTACAGGTAACCTTTTTATGCCTGGGGAGGTTGAAGGAAAGCACCTGTGAAACCTAATGGCAGACTTTGCTTGAGAACCCTGTTACAGGACTGCAGCGATTAATCTCATTACCTACTCTCAATATAGGCCCACGTTCTTTTAGCACATGTTGAAATTTGAGTCTAGGAAATGGGTTTTCTATTCAATGAAAATTCTGGAAGTTTACACAAATATTCTCCTCCTGCTGCCTGACTAAACTGAAACCATTTGGAGCCTTACATCGGAAGTGGGAGCAGAGGAGTGAGTTGTTACTCTTGCACAGTACCATATTATAAAGATATTGTAAATATCTTCATATAACCCATTCAGAAGCTTCTATGGGAGGATACTTTGTCTAAAAAAACCAGCCTGAACATCCAAGAGCCAATGCAAAAAATTATCAGTAAAGTGGGCTTTTCCAGTTGACCAGGCTGTGTCACTGA